CTCAAAAGGCAAGAAATACAAGTCCTAATCCACAAAAGGTGCTGGGCCCTAACCCAAAGGTGTTGAGTATCACTTGGCCTTTGTACCTGCAGTGGAGTAGCATTCACCACACAGCTTGTATGGGTGTAAGCTTGAGGCCTTTCTTTGAAAACATCATAGCTTTGAGACTACAAATTGTTTTCTAATTTATGCTTTAATTTTTTTCTGTTTCGAAAAATCTTAACATATAGTATTTCTGCTTTAAAATTTCATTTGGTTGTGGTAAGAAATATCAGATCTACTCATGAAATTTGTAGGTGTAAAATAGAGTATTATTAACAATAGATTCAGTGCCTCTGTAGGCTTTATTCATGTTGCCAACCTGAAAATTTATGGAGATTTATTAATCAGTCTATTTCCAAGTCCTCAGCCCCTGTAAGGACAATTCCAGTGCTGAATCTCTTGAGTGTGACTGTACAGAAATCTCATTCATATGTGATGGTCACACCACATGTGTCCTTTTGTGTCTCCTGGATGTATGTATAGTTTGTTTCTACATCTTTGCCTCTCTGAGTGTTGCTAAAACTAACATGAGTGCACAGATAACACCCCACATCCTAAGTTCTATTCTTTTTAATAAATGACAACCTACCTGAAAAAGAAATCAGAAAACAATCTTATTTTCAGTAGCATCAGAAAGAATAAAATATCCAGTGAAAAACCAAGGAGGGAAAAACTTGTTCACCACAATTGTAAAACATAGATGAAAGAAAATTTAAAAGATACAAACAGGGAGGAAATCATAAATCACATTCACAACTTAAATGATTTAATACACATGGGGCCTGGAATGTTGGCGAGCACCTGTAATCTTATCACCAGAAAGTGGAGGCAATGCAGGGAAACCCGAGCATTCCCATTCACAAGAATGAAAAGGAACCCATGCTTTACACCACACACACAGAGATCACCACACACACATTAAAGACTTAAGACTAAGGCTTGTAACTGTCAAACTCCTCAGTGTGTGCGGGGGGAATTAATAGGAAAGCCTGATGGCTGCCTTAGCAATGATTCCTTGTGTATGATCCTGAAAACATTAAAAAAATCAATAATAGACAAATAGGACTGCATCAATTTAAAAGCTTTTGCATAGTAAAGAGAAAGTCAACCGAGTAGCAAGACAACCCACAGACTGGAGAAAAATATTTACATCCATACATACGATAAAGATAAAGACAAATTCTAAAATATATGAATGATTCTGGCAACTTGAAAGCAGAAGTATTAACAAACCAGTTTTGAGAATGGGCACAAGCCCTGACAGATAATTCTCCAAAGAAGCTACAAATGGCTAGTAGTATATGAAAAGTTTCTCAATGACAGAAAAACACCAATTAAAACCACAGAAAGAGAACACTTCACACCTATCAGGGTGACTATTGTCCTGATACAAAACAAAGAACAATTTTGTCCAGATTTTTTTAAAAAATAACTTTCTTTGGGCAAGAATATAGAGAATTGGAACCCTGAAACATGTTTGGTGGGTGTGTAAACTGGTGCAGGCACTCTGGCAAGCGTTTGACAGGCCATTAAGAGTTACAAACCTAACCACCACATGACCCGGACCCAGCGGTCATGTGGTAGTTTACCCAAGTGAATGGAAATTTACCCAAACAAATGGAAATTTCTTTTTAATATTATTTTACCCATACATAAGCCAATGTCCCTTCCTTATTAGGGTGATTGGTTCATTCCCAGCATCATTTGGGTAGGTACTCCCCCTACCCCTGCCCAGGAATTCTCTTTATTAAATTCTATTTCTTACCTTAACTTTCTTATTTTACTCATCTCTTGGTTTTGTTCTCTAGGAGTATACTCATGTTCCTTGAGTTGTTTGGGCATATTCATGATCATCCTCTTGAATTCTTTGTCTGGAAGTTCTTCCAGGTCATTCTCATTGGCTCTATTATTGTGGGATTAGTTATTTTTGAAGGAGACACATTATCTTGGATTTTCACACCTTGCACACCTGGAGTTGGTTGAGTAGAAGTTCATGTGGAGAAAGAGGTGATGACAATCTGAGGACCGCTTGCTTGTCAGAATCTGGAGCTAGGGGAACTACAAAAGTATGAGCCAGGGTCCCAGGACAGGGGTCTTCTTGTCCACACCAGAGACTAGGAGCTGGAAGGTGTCAGAAGTTTGGGCTGTGGCTGAAGGTCTGGAGAACCCCTGCCTGTGAGCACCAGGAGCTTTGGAGGCAGCAGGTTGAGCTGAATGGTAAGGGTCTAGACACTATTGGTGAAATTATTAAGGCCACTCCATGTAGTTAAAAGGGAGGTTTATTTTGTGGGGTAACTTACAAGTGAAGGGATAGGTAACAGGGTCTGGGAAAGGTGTGGCACAGTCTGGTGGTGTTCTCTGGAGAACTCTGCTCAGTCTACCTCCAGTGTCCAGGGTCTAGGAACCAAGAGAGCCCACGCATCCGGATTTCGGGTTATCAGGGTCCTCTCTCGGCCCTGCCTTGTAGGCATGACAGTTACCAAAGCCTCAATGGGGGTTGGAACTTCCAGGTCAAAGCTGGAATGGCTACCCACTACAAGACACCACTTACTTAGCAGTGCTAGGAGCAAGGGAGGGGTGGAAATTTGGGGTCTGGGGACCCCTTACCTGTTGGTACCAGGAATGAGTAGACACCAAAAGTTTGGGCTTTAATATCCCTTCTTGAATTCATATGTGCCAAGGAAGTATTGTGACTTGTACAAGCTTTGGCTATAAAATGATAAATGATAGTGCATTCACCATTTGCAGAGAACTTGATCATATACCAACCAGTGTAGAATTCTCCACCTAAATCCATCACAGTAACTTCTAGCGTAGAATTCCCCACCTAAACTCAGTATAGTAGTCTATCACCCACATAGCTGTTAGTCAGAATACAAGGAAAAACATAAATTTCCAAATTAGTAAAGTGACTCTTTTTGCTTTGATCAGTATAGTAGTGATTTGTTAATTATTCAATTATCAACTCACTGTCTTTACCTCATGGTGATTTAAGACTCCATCAGAGGAAAAAGAGGGAAAGTTAATGAACAGCAATGAAGGGATGGCTGGGCCATAACTCAAAAGTAAAGCATTACCTGATGTGTTCAAAGGCCTGACTGATCCCCAGCAAAGCACACACACACACACACACACACACACACACACACACACACACACACACACACCACAGCTAGAGATCTTTTGAGGAAGAGGGTGCAGGTTAATAATCCCAGGGCTGCAAGCCTGGAGGGTCAAGAATTCAAGACAAACCAGAGCTACAGAATGAGACTACTAAAGAAAAAAAAAATCTATAGTACCAAGACAAAATCAAAGAGAAACCAAAAGGAAGTCTGTCTTAGTGAGGCTTTATTGCTGTGATAAAACACCATGACCAAAAGCAACTTGGGAAGAAAGGTTTTGATTCATCCTAAAACTCACAGGTCACACTCCATCACAGAAGAAAGTCAGGGCAGGAATTCAAGGCAGGAACTAAGAGGCAGGAGCTGAGGCAGAGGCCACGGAGGAGGGCTGCCAACTGGCTTGCTCCCCACGGTTTCTTCAGTCTGTCTTCTTATACCAGCCAGGGCCACCTTCCAGAGCTGGCACCGCCCACAATGGGCGGGACCTCCCATATCAATCACTGATTAAAAAAATGCCCCACAGGCTTGCCTGCAGCCCAGTCTTGTGGAGGTAGATTCTCAGTTGAGGCTTCCTCCTCTCAGACAACTCTAGCTTGTGTCAAGGTGATAAGAAACTAACCAGAATGAGGTCATAAATTGAAAAGAGGATAATAAAGAGCAATGGAGGTTGAAAAAGACAAAAAGTCTAGGAGAGATGAGCACAGTAGCAGTGAGAAGTGAATGGGATCTAGTGAGGCCGAGCCAGTTTCTGCCTAGCTTCGATTATGAAGGACCCAAATCACAGCACCTAACACGTTCAATTCTTAGAATTAAAACTTCATGCTGGGCGGTGGTGGCACACACCTTTAATCCCAGCACTCGGGAGGCAGAGGCAGGCAGATTTCTGTGAATTCAAGGCCAGCCTGGGCTATAGAGTGAGTTCCAGGAAAAGTGCCAAAGCTATGCAGAGAAACCCTGTCTCAAAAAACAGAAACAAACAAAAAACAAAACAAAACAAAAAAAACCCCCAAAACAAAAAACTTCATATAAGGCCAATGCACACAATTACTGTTGGCTGTAAATACTTGGGAAATTCTAACAACTAATGTTGTTGAGCATTGAGATTCTGGAATATAACATGGTAATTAATATAAAAGATAAACCAATTAGGAAAATGGGGATTAAAAAATAAATCAGTGTGTGCCCAGGGTTGCAGCTCAGTGGTACTGTGCTTGCCTAGCTGAGTTCAGCCCTCATGCCCATCCCCTCACTACACACACACACACACACACACACACACACTAGTGCAAGACAATGTCTTCTTATGGCAGAAACCTTTAAAATATTATAGTTGTTGATATTTTCTCACAGATGATTATTTTACAGCATTCAGTGATATAACTATAGCAAAATAAGATTAATGATACTGCTAGCTATATTAACCTTGAAAATTAAATCCAGGGAGCAATTTTATTTGGGAAAGGGGTACAAGTAAAACAAAATTTATAATGGCAAGTGTGGTTAAGTTTATATTTCTATAAAATACTCTGTTGGCTAGTTGTATTTGTTGTTATTTATTGTTGTAAGAGTTGGCATTACCCTTTCTAAGAGGCTGAGAACTCCAAGTGAACTCATTCTTACATGGATTTGAAGCTAATTTCCATTAGTATGCAGCAGTTGAAGATCTGCTACCAAGGACCATGCAATTAAGAATTTATCATTGGGCAGTTGAGTGCAGAGTTTTTAGAGGCCTCTGTGGGAATTTCCTTAGATAAGTGTTTGTTGTTAAGTAGTTGGTGATTCTTCATTGGGCGTGAGGGAATGTAAATAGATAACAACTTGACGATTTTTATTTTAATCTGAGGTGCTATCACTTGGAAAGAATTAGAAAACTCAGAAAAGGATGTAGATATACAGTTGACCTTTGGCTCTTGATGAATGCATGGTGATCCTGGGAGGGCATCCAGATACTACATCTGAGCCAGGCATGGTGGTGCACATGCTTAATCCTAGAACTCAGCAGGGAGAGGCAGGAGGATGTGGAGCTCAAAGTAATCTTTGGGTGTATAGTGAGTTCAAGGACACCATCAACTACATAAGACTGTCTCAAAAAGCCGAAATGTCTGTGTTTGGCATGGGAGTCCAGCTCAGTGAAGAGCGCATATCCAGTATGCACGAAACCTGAAGTCAATGCCCAGCACCCGCACCCCAAAACACCTCTGTGGTTTTTTTTTTCTTTCTAAAATCCCACTCACAACTCTCAAAATCTCCTTTAAATTAAAATCTTTTGCCTCAGTGTTACAATATCACCAACTGATCTAAAGCAGGATCTTTTCCCACCCCTGTATAACTCAGAACCTATACCCCCGACATGGATGCCATCATAAGTTCCCTGATGGACTTGGTTTTAATGATGCTATTTGCTGAGTCAAAGCAACTGAAATTATAAAGGAGCTCCATATTATTTCCTTCAAGACTTAGCTCATCTTCCTGAGCTTGAGACCCAGAATAAGCAAAACTTCTCCAGAAACCCAAGATGCATTTTTCACCCTAGATATTTCAATTGAGACCCATTTTCTTCAATGAGCATGCTGGTGGGAAACATGTGATGAAGCCCAGTGCAGCGCCTGAATCATGTTCTCCAAGACTGCCACAGTAGGAGGCAGCCGGGTCCTTCCATGTCTGCAAAACATGTCAAGCCAGAGCCTCTTCTATGTTGGGATTATCATAATAGCCACTAAGTACCTTTGTATTGTTACAAATGTTTTCTTCTAAATGCCTTTATTTCCTTCTTAATAACCTACTTGCCAAGTTATTCTAAGATGTCTCCATGATGTCCACCCACTGGGTTACAGTCCCTGTAGCCCCGCCCTTGAGTGTAGGCTGGTCTATGGTTTCCTCCATCCAATAGGAGATGGTGAAGGTGATGGAGCAGCATTCCTTCAGTTACCTGAAAAATATACCATGGAGGAGTTTGCAGGTGTAATTAGAGCTTCAAATCAGATGATTTTGAATTCATGGAAAGGACTATTCTAGGTGGGTTTGGCTCTTGTTGTGAGGACTTTTACCCCTGTTGTAGGGATTCCTGTAAGGCAGCAGTTCTCAAACTGTGAATCTCCACCCCTTTGAGCATCAAGTAACCCTTTTACAGGGTCACATATCAGACATCCTGCATATCAGATATTTACATTATGGCTCATAGCAGTAGTGAAATTATAGCAATGAAGTAGCAAAGAAATAACTTTATGGTTGGGGGTCACCACCACATGAGGGACTGTATTAAAGGGCTGCAGCATTAGAAAGGTTGAGACCCACTGTGGTAAGGTGGTCTCCAATCGGCCTTGTGTTACTGTGCTTAGAAGTTTCCTGGAGCAACTCGGCAGCTTCCTCTGTTCCCCACACAAAGGGACTTGCTACTAAGCCTGGCAAGTTGTGTTGGGTTCCTGGGACTCACAAGGCCAAGGGAGAGAACCAATTCCTGAAAGTTATCCTCTAACCTCTACACAGACACTGTGGTATATATGTGCCTACATGCAGTCCATCAATCAATGTCTTTAAAATAAAAGAAAATCAGTAATAACAAGATTTTATTTTCTTTTATATGGGCATGGGGTCTTAGATGTTTATTATAAAATGATTTGTTAAATCTTATACGCATCTCCCAAATAGACCTTTGCACTTTCAAAATGTTTTTAAAAATGAATATTGAATATAAATACCTAAAGTTTCAGGCAGACATTTAAGAGAAATACAGAAAAATGAAAGGAATATATGGAGATTCATGTGTAATTTTAGTTAATCCAAGAGAAGCAAAAAATAAAACAATGGGAAATTTCATGTCTCTTTTACTTTAACAGATAGGAATGGGTCATTTGCATGTAACACAAGATGGACTTCGCCTGGAAGGGGAATCCGAGTTTTTATTTCCACTGTATGTCAAAGAAATACGCTCCAGAGTGGTAAGAAGGCTGTGTGTCACCTGATTTGTGAAAAATAAGTAACGGTTAAGCACAGCAATTCATGGTATATCCTATGTAACACATCCATGGTATATCCTATGTAACACATTCATGCTATGTACTATGTAACACATTCATGATATGTTCTGTCTAACACATTTGTGGTACATCCTATGTAACACATTTGTGGCATGTCCTATGTAACATATTCATGGTATATCCTATGTAACACATTCATGCTATGTCCTATGTAACACATTCATGCTATGTCCTATCTAATACATTCATGGTATGTCCTATCTAACAATGTGCTACTGGGCAGTAGACCTTAATTTACAGAATATGTGCTATGAAGATTTTATACTTTAATGCTTCAGCTCTGAGTTTAGTAGCCTCAGCAATTTACTCCATAGAAAAAAACATAATTTATAATTAAAAATCTTTACTCAGAACAATTGACTATCATTGATGTTGTAGAATATTTGTTTAACTAAGTAAAGATGTGTTACATTTGTTTAATTACGTAAAGATGTGTTGCTGTTTCACCTTGCCTGCCTAAGGCACCTGATTGGTCTAATAAAAAGCTGAATGGCCAATAGCTAGGCAGTAGAGGGATGGGCAGGGATGTCAGGCAGAGAGAACAAGGAGGAAGAGGAATCCAGGCTGGAAGAGAGAGAAGAGAACAAGGGAGAAGGAGAGGGAGACATCTGGAGCCAGTCAGCCAATCATCCACCAGCCAGCAAGACACGGAGTAGGATATACAGAAGGAAAGAAAGGTAAAAAGCCCCAAGGCAAACATCAATGAAGAGAAACAGGTTAAAATAAGTTATAAGAACTAGCAAGAAATGAGCCTAAGCTAAGGCCAAGCATTCATAACTAATAATAAATCTCTATGTCATGATTTGGGAGCTGGTGGTGGCCCAAAAGAAAGCCTGTTACACATTGGTGCAAGCAGCTTAAACAGACTTCATTCAGAGCAGTCAGAGCTCTCTGGGGGGCTCTGGAGAAATTCCTGCCATAGAGACATTCTGCCTTACTTGTGCTAGAGATTTGTGAGTCTGAGATTCATCATACGCAGATCCAAATCAGTCACTATGAAATAATCATGAACTTGAAAAGCAAACCGAGACTTGCCTTGCTGCCTCCATGGAACTTAAGAAAAGGATCACATAGACTGACATACAGATATCCTAAAGGAACCGTCAGGACATTCATCAGGGTCTCCTACCAGCAGCAGAATGACTCAGCAGGAGAGTCCCAGTCCTGACACAAAGGGAGGTCCTAGAGAGGACAGAGCAAAGGGGAAGTCTCACCATGGTTGTGTTGTATTGTTTCTAGGAATCTTGCTGGCAGAAGGGGCATTCAGATGAGCTGTAATTCTGACTGATTCATGCATGGGCCAGTTGTGAAGTTTTTCTGGCAGTACACTTGCATTAACCCTAGTGGCATTTACAAGTGTTATGGACACTGTTGTGTGAGGACAAGGAAAGTTAGCACAAGTTTTTGTTAGTGAGAAAGTCAGGCATGAATAAATTAAAATATGAGATCTTATTCTCCCCAAGTCATGTTGGTTGATTCCTCCCTGTATTTAGGGAGACAACAGACAGTAGGACCCAGTGACTAAAGCCAGGGAAATAGATCATAGCCAGTGGGACCTTCCAGAATGAACGGCTTTCAGTCATATCTTACCAGGCTGTCATTTCCAGAATGCTTTAAGAAGAACAGGGAGTACAATTAGAAAGAAAGTCAGACAACCGATCACACATTGAAGGTTCACAATGTGACATCAATGTCAATCAGGACATAGAATTATAGAAACCATGAAGTGAACAGAGCTGTGCAGCAGTTTGTAACAAATATGACTTCCCAACAGTAACGTGTGCAGAACAGATCTCCCCTGAGAAACCTGTGTGTGCCAATATGTTAGTTCTGGTTTTCTGGGGAGCAGTTCTCTATAAAATCCTAGCGAGTGAGCTACGTCATCCATCTGAAGAGTTTGCCATTCAACAGTGATCTGCGGTGCTGAGCTGAAAGAATGTCTTCTCATGAATGTAATTCAGTGTGTGCTCTTCTTGCCTCTGACTCTGGCTGTGTAGTACCCTCAAGAGTAATGGGGCTCAGGGATGGCTCAGTTGGTAAAGTGCCAACTTCACAAGCTTGAGGAATTGAGTTTGCACAGTCATGGTGACCCCACTCTCTCAAGCTCACACTCATGAAGCACCAGGAAACACACATTACATACTTTTCAAAATTTTTATATACTACTAGAAGTGTGTGTGTGTGTGTGTGTGTGTGTGTGTGTGTGTGCGCGCGCGCGCGCGCACAGAAGACAACTTTTGAAAGTTGTTTCTCTCCCTCTGTGATGGGATACAAGGATTGAAGTCAAGTCATCAGGCTTACATGGCAAGCTTTTATCTACTGAGACATCTTACCCACCCAAAACTTACATATTAATGAGTACCCTGGGATGGTCCAATGCATACATATATTGGGTAATGTTTAAATGAGGTCAAACATATTTCCTCCAAAGTTTAGCCTTTCTTTACTGAGGAAACATTAAAAGTGATGTCTTCTAGCCTTTGAAATGTGCAGTGCATCACTGTTATCTGTGGTCCCTGCTGCTCCCTAGGACTCCCCAGCATCTTCCTGTCCCTGATGAACTGTAACTCATACCCACTAATGACTTCCTCCACCCTCTCACCCCACCTCCATCCTCCTCCATCCTCCCTACCTTATAAGTGACTGGCTTCTTCAGACCACACAGCTGAGGAGTCCTACAAGATTTGTCTTTTTCTGTGTTAGGCTTTTTCTTTTTATTGGGAGAAACCTTCACATTTTGAAAATAAGCAGTGTGGTGTTTCTTGTAGAATAGCTAACCATTCTCTGATTTATCCCCCTCAAATGCCTTGAACATAAATAACAATGACAACAAAGACTGTGAATGTCTTGGCAAAGATAAAACACTAATTAGAACCTATTTTCATTGAGAACTAATCAACATGTTAAGAGCAGTATTTTCAAACATAAACTCAAAGGATTATTATAATCTTTTCTTAAAAGCCAATGCATTTATACCCTAAACATAATATAATTCTGGTTACTTAAATGTTTTTGCTGCAAGTGTATAGGATCCAAGAATCTAATGTAGAAAATATAAATGTAAATTATATACAAACATAAAGGTATACTTTGCTAATTTTGAAAATCCTTTCCAGGACTCATCTCTGCTTCTGCAGTCAACTCAGAATGTGACAGTCAGTGCTCGAAACTCAGAAGGGGATGTCACAGGCAGGGTGAAAGTGGGTGAGTCCAACAATCTTATATCAAGTTCACGGAGGGTGGTGACCAGAGGGAGTTTCTTCTAAAGAATTGCAAGCTTATTTATAAGTAATAAAACATGAACTTTCTAACTTTCATGTTGTGCATAGAGAACAGTTAGCACTGAGAGGCAGAGGGGCGGTGTGAAGGTTTGTATGTGGAGAGGGGATAGTGTTAAACCTGAAAATAGTGAGGAGAAAGACCAAATCCACAGTTACCTCTTTAAAGCAAGCTTTATTAAACACTGGCCAGGACGATGGACACTGGCCAGGTCCATACCCAGGATTCCCAGAGAATGGGGCTGAATTAGGCTAGTAGGGTGCAAAAATCCACAAGGTTTTGTACTTCCCACCTTCATTCAGCAGGGGGCAAGCATACATCCTGCCCTACTTCTGGCCTACATACCTCTCACCTATGTGTGTAGTTGGGCAACCAACCTTGTTTACAAAAGTGAAAACACATGCCATATTATTTTACATGAACAACAGCCCCCAGCATTCCAAGAAGTTATCTGTCCTTGGGCAAGTGGAGTTTACAGGTTAGAGGCATTTTTGTTTTACAGATCCCTTAAGTATAGTAATTTAAACTTGAAACATAACTTGAGCGCTCACATTTTCCCCTTGTGTTGTATCATGAGTCAAATCCTTGACTCTGTAGTGGGTACCTATACACACTGAGATCTCATAACTAGCAGTTTAATAGCACCCAACTGGAAACTTATGTATCTAGTTAAGGCATTAATGAGCAAAGGCCAAAAGTAATTAGCAGAACCAGAAGGGCCAGAGGCTCTGTGATGGTCGACATCAGAGCTGCTGTGAGAATGGACACTAGTCATTTTTCATCTTGGGTCCCCCCCTTTTTTTGCAAGGTTCCTGAGTGATTTGCATAGAAACAACAATTTCTGTTAAAGTCACATAATACCTCCTTGTTCTACATAGAGCAGGCCAAGTCTATCATATCATATCTACCCTATCATATTGCAGAACTATTTCAGCTGATTATTCTATCTGTTGCTATATCTGGGTCTACTTGGTTTTAACAGGTATCTTTCCTGGTATGCCAATAGGCACTATAGGTAGCCATTTTGTTTCCTATGACAAGGAATTTCCTTTTGGCACAGGGGCCACCTAAGATCATCAGAAAACATACATATTTACATTATGATTCATAATAGTAGCAAAATTACAGTTACAAAGTAGCAATGAAAATAATTTTATGGTTGGGGGTCACTACAACATGAGGAACTGTATTAAAGGGTCGAAGCCTTAGGAAGTCTCATTGGAGAAAGTGGGTCACTGTGGGTGGGACTTGGGGTTTTACAGCTAAGCCCCACTTCCTGTTCACTCTCTACTTCCTGCCCACTGAGGCAATGTGACCATTGGCTCTTGCTCCTGCCCCAGACCTTTCCTGCTACAATCTCCTAGAACCAGAAACCGGAACAAACCCTTCCTCAGATGGCTTCTGTCAAGGCATTTTGTCGCAGCAACAAGACAAATAACCAATGCCCTTTCCAAGACTGGCCCATGGCAAAACACGCCAGCACGTGATGGCACCTGCTAGAACTTGGAGCCCACTCTTCTGAGCACCAAATCCCAGAGGTCACAGAACAAATTCTGAGACCAAACTACTGAGGCTTTTGTAGAAGGGAGAGTGCCAAACATGGAGGATGGGATGCTAAGCATTGCATCACAGAAGGGGAAATTCTGGAATCTGAGAAAGGCGGAGAATGATGAGCGTACCAGTGCTGGGGCAGGGTGGGAGACTCCAGTGGGTCTGTGGAGATGCCTCATTCTTCCACGGAGAAGCAAGAGCTTGCCGAGAGGCTGGCCAGCACCCTCCCAGACAGACCACCGTCCTCAGCCCCAGGAGAAGTCTAACCCAGGAAGGTTTCCAGAAACCACCTTATAAAAAGGGGACAAATTCGGTGCTGCTCAGTAAGCCCCACACGGAAATGCCCACATTGCAGGGTGTACCACAGATGGACCAGGAAACCAGTTAGGTACCTTCACCCAAGAATTCCAGGTTTGACAGGAAGACGAGACTAGCAATGTTCAGAAAGATCGGCTAAAGAGGGTCTGTGGGGAAGAAAAGAAAAATGAGTCTATTTTCACTCTCACAAATATGGAGAAGAATATTCTCACTCTGCATTGTCTCCAGAATCCAGGTGCAAGGAATGTTATAGGATGAAAACCACTGAGGCCATGATGCATGCTTTTAGGAAAAAACAAAACAAAAAACAGAGCTAATGGAACGACATAATAGATGAGTGTGTTTCTCATTCCCGGAATCATGCGGGCGATGATCCTTTATGTTTAAAAGTTGAAAGGGAGCTGGAGAGCAGCTCAGTGCTTAAGAGCACTTGCTGTTCCTTCCTGAAGAGGACGTGTGTTTGGTTGCCAGCATCTGTATCAAGTGGCTCACAACTGCTTGCAACTCCAGCCCCAGGGCATCCTATTCTCTTGTCTGGCCTCTTTGGGAACTCACACACATGGTGTGTATACACACACACACACACACACACACACACACACACACACACACACACCTTTTTAAAGCTGAAAGGCAACACATTTTGGAAAGCAGTAAAAATGATCCACAGGAATTTAAATGAAGGAGAACTTAGTTTCTCAATGGATGTATGTAAGGATGGAGTATGTCACACCATGTTGCTGTGACTTGCAGAGACACCTCAGAACAAACATGGTTCTGGTCATGTGATGGCTAACTTCATGTTTAAGAGTGTAAAACTACTGTGCTTAAGAGAACTACAAAGCAAAATTGAATTTCCAAACATTAAGGGCTGTTAAGGGTCGATTTTTGTAATTGCCTGGTCTTGTACAATTTTAACAAAACTATTGTTTATACAAGGTTATAGGTCACAAGGTCAACCGCTGTTCCTGCTGCTATAAAGGAAAGCTTGTTTGGCTCAACAGAACCATAACTTAGTGGCCTTTGCCTTTACAAACCCCTGACTGATGTGGCTGACTTGGCTGCTGCAGCATTTGGGGATCCCTAGTCCTGGTTGTAGGCCTGGTGCCAGTATATAAAGGAAAGCCTCCTCTTTGTTAAAATGTATTCATGGTCAGACTGGTGGGTCTCTGAATGACCCTGGACCCCTAACAGTCACTGTAGCTTCCTCCTCAGCCTCTGCTCTGTTCCCCCTTTTCATTGCCTGTGGGGAGCCGGGAGTCCCTTGACCCTCGGTCTCACCCGATGACCCTCCATCTCACCTACTTTGTTTTCATGGAAGTGAGTGGACCATGTGCAAGGCCTTCCCTCTATCTTTCCATAATTTTTTCATCACAAAATGCCACATTTCATTCAATAAGAGTCAATATTAATATAACATATATATGAGATGCTAGTGACCCTGGATCTCTGGGTAGAAATATATATATATAATTATCTAAAAGAAAAACTGCCTTTTCTTAAGGAAAAGAAAATTTAACAAACTGAGGGCTTTAATTCCTAGCTACATCAGCCACCCAAACCATTTCTTCAAGTTTATGTATTATTATTGGGGTAGGGATGGGGAGATGCATGCCATAGTGTGCCTGTGGAAGCCAGTCATATCCCGTGGTTCGGTAGTGACCCAGCGGCTGTGAAAACAGAGAATCCACGCTGCTTACAGTAAACGTCTAATACCCTGTGCTGATTGGCCCTTCAGGTGCCGAAATGGTAGAAGTCCAGAACCAGCGCTTTCAGATCAGCTCTGAGAACGGCAAGCTGCTGTTCACCGCCGAGGAGCAGGGTGTGGTGGTCGGCACGGGCAGACTGCGAGTCACGGGTAGGTGGGGACAGCCGGCTGCAGCGCATCCATAACTCTGCTCTGCACTCGGCTAAGGAACAGTATCTGGCTGTTGAAGTTTCTTCTGCCATTTTCTTTGACATTCTGTTTGCGTCTGAAGGACGATGCCTTCCTCACACAGCTTTGCCCACCTTCGTATTTCTCCTTTATCTCTTTTCTAGTCACTGTAGCCAACAGCTTACACATCTCTCTGTGTAGTTTACATATCTGTTTTGTCCCCATGATGCCAGATACTTGAATACCCCACGTGTCTACAAAACATACACTTTTCCTCTGGCTGATTCAAAAGTGGATTTGAACTCTCATCGGTTTCACCTTCAGTATAAAAAAAAATCTATGAAAAACATTTTCAGAACCTGTTGTAAACTTGCTTGCTATGTTTCTGGAAGTCTAGAGGTACAAGCAGACAGGTGTGTTTAAGTCACTTCTGGAATTTTTCTGCACTAATCAAAAGACGCACAATGTTGCCAGAAAATAGGCTCAACCCCTGATATACAATTTTATGTGATTTATGCATTACTTCCAAGCATGCTCGAAAGTGGTGACCTAATGTTGCAGACTATGCCAAGGAAGCAGCAGCTTCCTTTCTTTCTAAAAGACACTAGGAAAGCCAAGATAAGAAATTGAAGCGGGGGTGGAGGTGGGGGTGGGGGGGGATGTGCCTGCAGTCCAAACATCAGGAGAGAGAGGCTGAAGATCATGAATTCAAGATGTGGGCTAAATGGTGAGACCTGTTTCCTCTCTCTCTCTCTCTCTTACTGCTTAGTAAGTAAAAAAGCAAGTAGTTAAGTATCTGACATAGAATCCACTGGCTCAAAGTACGTATGGTCTCTGACTTGTGATGGTTTACCTCATCTGCCTTGTAATGATGGAGACACAAGACACGTTAGTAGGCACCAACTGGAATTTTTAATGTGCTTACTTTCTTGGACTAGCATTACATCATCCCATCCTCATGGCTGGACAGCTACAGTGGCCAATACTACACCTCCTACTCAATCCTTGGATCACATACAATTGAACCACCTCACTCTACAGTGGGCTATGCTACTGAGATGGCATGGCTGATAGTCAGGTAGATGTTATCTTCCACTTGGGATATGGGATATGTCAGTTTATGACATGGTTATTGGAACACACCACCATTATGAGTTGAGGGCCACCTGTATAGGACACATTGGCTTTCTTGACCTTAATGCTATTTCTGTACTCACTGCATGCAAGTTGTCAGTAGGTCTGTCTCCTGATGTGCAAGAGCAAGTTGGTACCACTAACTGTTCCTGATGGTGGATCAAATTAATGTGTGCAAAGTCAGCATAGCCTTTGGGAAAGTACCATTGTGTTGCAGGGTGTAGAGAAAAGAGCATAAACAGAAACTTGGATTCCATCAAACCCAAGCCATCCATCACAGAGGATGAACCATTCCCTAGCCCGGGGTTTCTTTCAGATTATGGCATTATAAGGGAAGCAGATGAGAAACCTGATGAGCAGTTGCAGTATAAGTTACCCGTGTGCATCAGAACCACCTCGGAGGGGGTGGTTGTTATGTCCGTATTTATTGTATTCAACCTTAGAGTCTCTGGCTGGGTAGTACATGGGTTACTTTTCTTGTCCCTGTGATAAAAATGGAGGAAAGGCTTGTCTGGGCTCACAATTTAGGAGATGTGGACCATTGTGGGAGAGAAGGCATGGAGGCTGAACATGCTTGCTGTGCAGCTGAGAGAGCTGATGGACCGGCTTTACACATCTCAGAGGATCAGCAAACAGAGAGAACTCAGACCAGAGATTAGATGAGCAATAATCATCAAGGTCTGCCCTGGTAACCTACCTTCTCCTGCTGGGCCAACCTCCTAAGACTCCACAACCTCTCCAAGCTGTGCCAACAGCTAGAGACCTGGAAAATGCATGAGCATGGGAGGGCATCTCACATCCAAACCATCAACAAGTAGGCTTAGCATAAGACTGAAGGTTTCATTTCTAACCAATTCCTAGGGGATGCCAGGGGCCACATTGAGAACCTCGTCCCCATACTAACTTGACCAGAGTCACAGTCTGGTCAATCACATACAAATGCATTCTCCAGCACAACCTTCAAGCTATCCTCTTGAGACAATCTGTGCCCAGGCTTTCATCTCAGGCACTAATTTCTCCCAAACTCCTTCTTGTCTCCAGTGATGCTATCTAGGATATGTGAACCTCACTTCTAACAGCTGCGTTCCTTCCCTGTCATTACAATAGGGAGGTTCTCGTTGCCATAGTAACCATGAGTGGGGAGTTAATGACCAGACCTGAGCTTGCTGAGCTTTCTAATGTGTCCTCGGCTTTACCCAACTCTGACAAATTGTAGAAAATCCCACAATTCTGGCATTTCTCCTCTGGGTGTCTCTCTATATTTATTGTCTAGTTCAGAATTCCTCAACCTTAGTACTATTGCCATTTGAGGTGGGTAGTGTTGGAGTATAGATGGGCTGTACACAGGAAAACTAAATAAAACTGTCATGCAATTATAAGCATGCTGAGAAGGTTTTCACAAAAGTCAAAACTTGATTTCATCTCCATTTCTTTTCTATTCATAGTAACTATAGTTATGACCATGTTTTGTTAAATAGAAAATTTAGCAGGATATTTTCATAAACCTTAACTTTTCAAGATAAATTCTCATGGCAGCTTTTCTCCACTACTTCCTGTGAAAGTCCAGGGTTCACTAAAAAAATATGAAAACAGATGTGTCTGGATCACCATGCCCATCAGGTCCATATCCAAAGGCACAGACACTTTGTGGTATGGCTGACAGCGGACCAGCCATAGACACAGCAGTTGTCTTTCTGCTGAAAGGAATGAGGACTCCCCTGCAGTGGCTTAGGACTCACGGACACACAGATGTCACATGGGAAGCTGGAGGGTGCACCTCCAGGTTGACTCACACTGACGCCAGCTTTTCCTGAGTGCCGGAGCTCTGACCTTTGCCTTTGGGTGCACCCTGCCCTTCTGGGTGACTTTCTCTGCAAACATCTTCGTAAGGGGCCCTGGCACTGCCAGTTAAGCAGACTAGGCTCTGCCATAGTCTCCTCATCTTATTTATTTTTATTTAGTTTGGCAATTGCTCTGTTTGGGCTTCCCTGTGTCACAGCAACTTCACGGCTGCTCTGTTTGCATCGTTTCGTGTTTTTGTGTCAGGTAGTGTATGATGAGACAGAAAGAACACAATCACATACTCACTGGCTGCAGTGAAGATCTCTCTTTGGTGCAATGCAAAGATGTTGAATTTCCTGGATGGTGGTGTGCCTTGACTCATGTTGTAGAACTCTGACCTCTGGGTACCACTGAAATCAGAACAGCTACAGTCACCCACGAGAGAGACCCACAAGATTAGGCAGATTAATGATTTACAGTTGTTAGAAAGAGAGACTCCTTAGTAGGGTAACTGTCGATGAGTCAACCATGCTCCTGTAACTAACCCCTTATCCACACTCCTGTAAAAAGCTTCAGGAGACTCAGTGGTTCACCAAGCTAGACTTGGATGGAATTATTTCTTTGATATGTCATTGGGACAGAGAGAAGTGTAGCTCCCAAGAAAAGTCACAACAAATCCATCGTACATTTTAAGGCCAGTCTAATCATTACAGGGAAAATAGATTGTTTAGAGGCAAGAATCAAAGCATAGAGCCAAGTAGGATGGTGGCCCGCCGAGATGGTGGCAGTGTTCTGGAGGAAGTGGGTCACTCCCAATCAAGGTCTGAGATAAGAAGCTCTGTCAGGGTTCAAGTGGGTGGCAAGCATCTGGGGAAAGAATCAAAGGAGATGCTTGTTGGTGGGTAACAATGTTGTTCTGTGGGTGATGGAGAAACCCAGGGGAAGAGAAAACACCACACAGCAGAGGCAGCCCGCAGATAATTCTTATGTTGAGAATCAGCCATGAGGATGTCACCTCAGCTATTGACTGTGCATCCATGGACATTCAGAACAGAAGCCTTGAGTGAGCACATGTGAGAGCATCACACAACAACTGAGCTATGAGAATGCCTGTGAGGCCCCAAGTGGGAGAGTGGAGAGACAGTGTGGGGGCAGGATTACCTCAGTAGCCATTTTCCTGGTGCCAGAAGAGCTGATGTTCCAGAATTTGAGTCCAGGAAAGATAGAAATTTTCCTTGGACATCATCATGGAGGTTACTACTATCTTAGAAAGAGCATTTTCAAGGGGGTAGTGAGGGACTCAAGGCAAGAAGCAATTTGAATTGTTTGCATTGTGAATAGAGTGGGAGGTTGTACAGATGCCATGCAGTGTGGCCGTGATGAGAACAATGGCATTATTTTACATCATCTGAAAAGCCTGTGACAGTCCACAAATGCTCAATGAATATATGGAACTGACCTTAATAAATATTGGGCAGCAAAGATGCAGTAATTTAACAAGTGTCTGTGTGTGCACATCCACTATTCAATTAGAACTGTTAATATTGAATTCTGTGTATTGGGAGTATTTAGAGGAGTCTAAAAGGAACCTGCCAGGAAGAATGGAGCCACTTGAAGCCACCCAGTACTGGGCTCTGTCTATGAACTCCATGGTTATTGGACTCTACTCCAAGAACCGTCTCTCACCTTCACCACTGTAATCAGTCTAGTGCTCAAAGCTTACTGCAGACCCTCCCATGACTATCATTCATTAAAACATAGGTGGGCACATAGGTATGTCTGCAGGCAGGTTTTTCTGTCTCTCCTACCAGCTCCCAAGTCATGACACAGAGACTCATTGTTTTACATCATGAAAGCTCAGCAGATAGCTTAGGCTTGTTTCTAACTAGCTCTTATAACTTCAATTAACCCATTTCTATTAATTTGCTTTCTGCCTTGTGGCTTTATTGCCTTTATTCTGCACTGCCCATGTTGTTTTCTCTTTGTCTGTCTGGCAGCTCCTTGCAACTCTGCCCTTCTTCCCAGTGTCCTCTCTGCCCTGAAAATTCTGGCTAGCTATTGGCTATTCAGCTTTTTATTAAACCAATCTGATTGACAAATCTTGACAGTGTACACAAAGATTATTCCACAACATATGTGGAATATAGGACATTTACTTGATTGATGTGGGAGGACCCAGCCCACCATGGCAGTACCACTCCTGGACAGATGATTCTGGATTGTGTAAGAAAACAGGCTGAGTAAACCATGGAAAGCAAGCCAGTAGACAGCTTTCTTCCACGGTCTCTCCTTCAGTTCCTGCCTCCAGGTTCCTGGCTGTGATGGACCTGGAACTGTAAGCTAAGGAAACCCTTTCCTTCCATGTTGCTTTTGGTCACGGCATTTATCAAAGCAATAGAAAACAAGCCAGGGCAGAAACTGGTACCAGGGTATGCCCTAGGCATGGGGTATGCCTACACCGAGGGTGGGGCCTGGTGATAGGTGAGGTCCAGGCAGGGGTGTGTCCTAAACCTGGGATGGGCCCAGTCAGGGGTGGAGTCTCAGCATGAATGGGACCTAGGCAGGAATAAGCTTTGGCCTGGCAGAACCTAGGCCAGGCAAAAGCCCTGGATAAATCTTAGGGGGTGTAATAGATGAAGTGCTACTGCTAAACTCTATGCATATGCCCATAAAACTTAAGGTAAGCAATACCTTGAATATAGCCTGAATGATGGATTTGTGTTGCCTCTGTGCCCAGTGCAGTGGTTACCCATTTGTTCTCACGTGCTCAGTGCCTGTGGCCCTGCTGCTCCTTACCTGCAAACTTCGAATGTCACAAATGACTTTAACACAAGGTGGATAAGGAGCCATGCTTTAACCACAGCAGGACTTTCCAGCCAACGTTGCTCATTTACTTAGGTAATGAAGCCCCACAGCATGCAGTTTTAAAACGTTAACACTGGTCTCAAATGATAGCTAATGTAGGATATGACAAACAATGTGTCGCCAGCTCCATGTATCACTGCACCCTGGGCACATTCTTGCCTGAGATCAATTCTCTGATAAATGGACCGAGAGAGATATGCTAGTTCCAGAAACACAAGGGGGCTATTTCAGATGTTTAGAATTCTTTAAAACTGTTCTACTGGGCCTTAGAAACCAATGACACAAGACACAACTGTTTTACACACACACACACACACACACACACACACACACATACACACACACACACACACACACACCAACTTAGTATTACTGGAAAAAAGACAGAATGTCAATGTGAGTTATTTCTTTTTTCATTTTGATGACTAACATCATTTTCTACTTTTAAAATAAGCCTGTTAGTTTGCAATAACCTGGGTCAAAAAAATCACACTCTGTTGATAAGCTGTCGTGGTGGCCTCAACATGTACAGGAACTCTTGTGCCCCTCTTCCCTGAATTTTGAACCCATGAACAAATGTGGCAAAAAAGGAACACAGACAACAGGCTGAGCATCCCTTACCAAATGCTTGGGATCCAGAGTGTTTGAGGTCCCAGACGTCTTAGATTTGGAATATCTGCCTGTGCACAGACACCCGAGGGATGAGACTTCCCTTGGGCTGTAGCTTGGAGGTAATCATTTATTTTAGAATGGGTTTCATGAGCTTGCGTTGTGACTGCAGCCCATCACATGGGGTCAGGGTTGGAACTTTCTACTCTCGATGGTTAAGCCAATCCTCAAAAACTCTGAATTCTGGGATTAGGGATGCTCAGCCTCTTGGCTGGACTGGCTGTTTAATTTGGCTGATTCCACTCCTTGTATTTTGTTCTGATGCATCTCTGGGCTTTGTTTAGGGCCGGAAGGAGCTCTTTTTGAACACTCAGTGGAGACACCCCTCGTCAGAGCTGACCCATTTGAAGACCTTAGGTAAGGAGTTTGCTTCCAACATAAACACACTTTCTCATGGCAAACACCGAGGTGTGCCTGCAGACGGATGCTCAGTGTCCCCGTATCACTTCTTTACTTTCAAGGCTTTCAGCACATAACTAACTGGTTATTACTTATTAGAACCTGAGGCAAGTCCAAAGACCTGTTGGGTCTAAACTTTGTTGTGGTTTCATGGTTCTTCCTCTTGTCTCCACTGCCTCTGTTCAGGCTCCGTAGGACAGTAGGGGTCTACTCATCACACTCAGTCAGAAGGACACTGCTCTTGGGACACTGTTGAAAATGTTCTGCTGCTTCTGCATCAGCCATGGGATGACGGGTGTGTGCTCAGGGCACCCATGGGTAGGGCTGTGTCTGGCAGTCCTCTCCCTCACAGGTCTCCCCGACTCGAGCATCTGCTACCCCTTTCCACCCCAGGCTTTTGAACAAACTCTTCCCTCTGAGGGGGGTACCTTCTGTGACATTATCCGTCCCTACCCACCTAAAACAAGCCAAAGCCTCATGGAAGAAGACAGTGCCCTACATAGACTTTGAAACTGGAAATCAGCATTCTTGAAAGTGTCCATATACTCAAGTAGTAAGTGCCCTCCTCCGTGTGTGTGTGTGTGTGTGTGTGTGTGTGTGTGTGTGTACTATTCATTGAGGAAAAAATGTTATAAATGCAAGCACAGGATAAAGTCATATTTGCAAAAAAATGTTAGAAAGCTTTGGTATCTATGGTAAAAATTCACATTGTGTATAATTTACCCTCTCAGCCATTTTTAATGTGCAGCTCAGTGGTGTTAAGTACTTTTTGAACCATTGCCACGGTCCATCTCCAAAGCCTTTTTCCTCTTTGAACTGAAATTCCATCCCCCTTAAGTAGGTCTTCATCCTCCCCTCCCCACCTCAGCCCTGGCATCCACCACACTACTTTCTACTTCAGTGGACATGACTGTCCTACGCACCTCATGTAAGAGGAATGTACTGTGATTCTCCTGTTGTGACTTTTTCCCTGGGTATAAGGCCCTCAGCCCTTGATGGATTTGTGCATGATGACTGAATAGTTTTGTACATAAGTTTCCTCTTACGGGAGTCTATTTGTAATGACTGTTGGCTATAATGTATCCACTGTTAATTCCACTAATACTTTTTATGCCAAAGGCCAAATAAAATTATTGAAATAAGTGGTCTATTATAGTAAGGATGTAGAATGTCCCCCACAGGTCCAAGTACCTCTGTGGTGTGCTGACAGGTTCCTTTGGGTATATACATATATATATATATATATATACACTCCGGCATGGTATAGCTGGGTCATGTGGTCACTCTACTTTCAGGAACCTCCATACTAATTTCCAGTGACTGGACTATTTTACATTCCTGCCAGCACTGTATGTGTTTTCCTCTTTCTGTGTATCTTCACCATCGCTTTCTTTTCTTTTCCCCCCACAAGGTCTGGTCATTTATTTGTTGCTATTTAAGACTTGCATTTTTGACTGGACTCAGATGTAGAAGCTCTCAGCAAGGACAGTCCAGGTCTTTTGGCAACCTGTTCCTGGAGCATATCTCTGGCTTCCTTCATTTTCTTGGTCAAAAGTTTAGCATATTCCGCAGCCCCCTCTTCATTTTTCTTAGTGTGTTGTTTCTTCAGAGCAACATGTGGGCACCTGTGTTGCAGGACATGTAGAGTACAAAGACACTGAGTCTTGGGTGCCTTGGTCTTGGACTTCTTACCTTCTTTATTTAAGGGCTTTCGGACAACATGTCGGCAGACATCATCATCTTAAGAGAGATCAAAAGTTTTCAGATTCTGCTATCTCTTTTTGGGCCTCAACTGCTGGTGTCCCGGGAGGAGATATTCAGCTTCATCTTGGCACAGTAGACCACCTAGGAAGCACCATGGAAAGGGGACTTTGTTTTCCTTGATCACTGTTCTGGTTGGGATCATATGTAGTCATGATGCTATTTTAATGTGCATTTCTCTTTGGGTGTTGCCTTAGTTTCTTTTCTTGTTTCTGTGATAGACTATCCAGACAAAATCAGCTCAGGGAAGAATAGGTTTATTTCAGCTCATAGTTTGGGAAGTCGGGGTCACAGATGCCTCTGATTGCACCCACCCACAATTAAGAAGTGGAGAGGAACAGATGCCTTTGCTCAGCTTTCTTGATTCTTTTTGTACTGCCTAGGATTCACCCCAGGAAATGATGTCACCCTAGAATCCACCCCAGGAAATGATGTCACGCTCAGTGAGCAGGTCTCCCCACCTCAATTAACCTAATCAAGATAATCCCACAGGCATGCTCACAAGGAAACCATACACATGGCAAACAGACAGACAAATAGGCATGCACCACCCTCCCTCTTCCCCCCAAACAACTCTTCTTACTGGATAAGAAAGTAGGTGCGTGGGCTAGAGAGACGGCTCAGCGGTTAAGAGCACTGCTGCTCTTTCAAAGGACCTGGGTTCGATTCCCAGTACTTACATGCTAGCTCACAACTGTGTGCAATCCCAGTCCTAGGGGATCTGATGCTCTCTTCTACCTCTGAGGACACTGCACTAATATATGTGTACTCATAATCATGAACACACACACTCAAATTTACAACAAAAACAACATCTTTAAAGATATCATTCATTGTGGAACATTTGATTTTCTTTCTCTTTGTTTTTAAGACTTTTCATTCATCTCACTGATCTGTATGATGTGGGGGTGGGTATCTCTTTAACGTAGGTGGGGATATTGGTGACTGACTGGGACCAGCAGGTCATTCTTGGGTGACAGGACCCTAAGGCGGCTGGCCAGAGATGAGAAAATAAAGAATATAGAAAAGTTGGGACCAGGAAATACTGCATACACTGATGGTTTATGCCAAGCAAGTTCATGAGAAGTGCAGCCCCTTATATACAGTTGTCAGGAGGGTGTGGGTGGGACAGGGAGCAGAAAGCTGTCATAGGATGGGATGAGGTCAGCAGCAAGCTAATCAAGCAGGGTTGCACAAGGGGAACACATAGGATCTCAAGAATGTCACAGGTGGAGCACACAGCAGCCTGGAATTGATAACTCCGGTTTCTTCAGGGAGAAAGGCCAAGTTCCCAGGAACGGAAACTTTAACTCCTTAGAGACCCTGGCCCCAGCCCCAGAGCAGACCTTGGCAAGCCTGCCCCTTGGCAAAGACACAGAACTAGGTTCCCTTCATCTTTCATGGGGGCTCTGAGAACACCTGGGATCTGCCTTGATCTCAGCGGGAGACCTTCTTCAGTTCCAGGGGCCCTGCTCCTTTGGTGATTCTGGAGAATCCAGAGCCCCTGGTTCTCAGTGTGTGCCATCCTTGTTCTCTGGAGGTGCTGAGTCCTTTGCTTCTGCCCTTGGACTCCTTGGGAGATCGGGAATAGGATTCTGTGCGTCAGCAAACGTGGATGGAAAAAGCATCCTTCATTTTCATGGATCTTCAGCAGGAGTTCCACATGCCCTTTAGGTAGGAATTACAGCCACAATCCTCAGTGGCCTCACCAATCGGAGTTACAGGTATTTCATTTGAAAATTGTGGCGGGTGTCTCAATATACTGCCTGGCCTCTGCATTAGAATTTTAATTCTCACAAACCCACTGCTGAACGTTACCAAATGCATAGCTCAGTGAGCTCTCAAATCACCGTGTCATGATTTTGAAAATCTCATTCTTGCACTTGAAAGTTTGCAAAGTCCTCTGCAATTCTGTTTTATTTTATGTATGGAAAGTATTAAATCCGTGGACTTCACTAGAATGCCGAAGACTCCATGCCGCACTGGCAGCATTGCAGAGCCTTCCTCTGAAGCCACCCCACTCCTCACCCCACCCCACCCTGCCCTGCCTCCCTGACATTTTAATGTTTTGGAACATGCCTTATCTGCATTTAGTAACCAATCTGAGGGAACAGACCCATCTTCACCTCTTCACTAAGGCTGTCAAGGTCACACGGGATTTGCCTGAAATGCAGCAGGCCGATAGGAGCTGCTTCCGGGTTTCTCCTTCCAGACAAGAAAAATGCAGGTCACAGCAGAGCACCAGCGACCCAGATGCATGGACAAGCAGAGAGAGCAAGCAGGAGAAGATTCACCAGCGCTCACACAAATGAAACCAAACCTAATTAGACCAATCAGCTCCATAGATGTCCTTTAGGGGTATGCTCACATTCAAAGCAAGATTTCAACATATGCAGGACTCGGGTTTTACATGTTCTGATATCTGAACAAAAGTGAAATTTTGTCTTGTGTTATCCACAGTGATGGGGAGGGCAGGGTGCTGAAAAGGGGCAATGGGAGATGAGTATGATCAGAGCACATCTAAGTGTGCAAAATGTCATCACAAAACCCACTACTTTGTGCAATTAAGACGTGCTAATTAAATGTAGGAATAAAAAAAAACTGACAGAAATTTCCAATCTAACATGTATCCATCTGATTTAAAAGTCTCTCCAGGGCTGGGGAAAAGGTTCAAAGGTCAAGTGCTTGCTCACTGTGCATGAGGTCCTGGGTTTCACCCCAGCACTGAAAAAACACCACCAAATCCGTTCCTAGGGCCTTTCTAAAGCTATGCCACACCTTCCTAGCCCTCCGGTGGTCAGTGCTACCCCACAGCTGGCACCGTCCCTGAAGGGCACAGCTTTCCCTGCCTGCTGTCCCTCTGACTGGTCTGAGTTGAGAGGTTTCTGTGAAATCAGGTTGTAGCTGTGCAGCTGGACTGTCCATCAACAACTGCATTGTGCCCCCTGGTGGAATCCATCCTTTTCCAGGTGGAGGCAAGCAAGACATACTTTCTGGCACATATATTTATGGTTTGTTCTTTCATTTGGTCCAACCCCAGGAGAGCCTGATCCACCATACTGAAGCCAAGTCAGGTGGGACCAGCAGGAATCCTGTCTCCTGACTTCATCACTTCAGCGTTTTTGAAAAAAATAATCTTCCCAGTTACCCTCAGACCTGGCTGAACTTAAAGAGACTTTGAAAGGGGAGGCTGGGGAGACAGCTGTCAGTAAAGCGCTTGCCAGGAGGCAAGACAACTTGAGTTCAATCCCTAAAACTGCATAAAAGAATCGGGCACAGTGGCCTGTGTGCCTGTAACCGCGGTGATGAGGAACATCCGAGGCATCCTGGCCACCCAGCCTCCCCAATCAGTGAGCTCCAGACCAATGAGAGGCCATGTCTCAGAAAAATGAAAAGTGAACTGTTCCTAAGGACCAACGTCAAAGGTTGTTGGCTGGTCACCACCTACACATGCACACATGCTACCTACTGTGTGTTAAGAGTGTGCCATCATGAGAGCATACGCATGTGCAGGTGCACACACACACACACACACACACACACACACACATCCACACTAAACAAACAAATAAGCAATTTCAAAAGATTTTATTTTTTAAGAAGTGAAAGCTAGGCCAAACATTTTCTGCTCTCATGGGAACACATAGCAAATATTTGTCCTTAAACCTGTCTCCCTTTCCTTTCCCTGTGCGTTTGTCCATTAACTAAATATTATCATTTTTTAAGCTGTTCACCAACGGCAGTTCCTTCTGCAGGGCCGTCTACACAAGATTACAGCCGTCTGCCACTGTACCCGTGGACAGAGCACACTAAGTTCATAGGCTGTCACTAGTGGGATGCTCATTTCTCTGCTACTCACTGTGTAGGTTAGTTATTGTTAACTTGACACCAACTAGAGTCACCTGGGAAGAAGGACCCTCAATGGAGGAACTGCCTTCATCGGACAGACCTGTGAACAGTTTTGTAGGCCATTTTCTTGATTGATGATTGATTCAGGAAGACCCAGTCCACTGTGGGCATGCCATCCCTGGGCAGATGGCCTTGGGCTATGCAAGAAGGCAGGCTGAGCAAGCCATGGAGAGCGAGCCAGTGAGCAGCCTTTCTTCATGGGCTCTGCTTGAGTCCCTGCCTTGAGTTCCTGCCCTGGCTTCCCTCAGTGATAGACTGTAAGCTGAAATAAACCATTCCCTCCCCTAGTTGCTTGTGGTCAGTGTTTCATCACAGCTATAGAGAACAAGCTAGAGCACTCATTATTTCCGGATGTATGAGTATAGAGCACGTCAACATTCATGAGTGACATCAAATTTCTTGGAGAGTCTGCATCCCTTGTTAGCTACCCTTTCTATATTAAGCCACGTGCTGAAGGTTTGTGTGGTAGTTTATTTTCCTCCTTCAGTCTGTTGGTCCTCCCTGGCCCAGACTGCTCACCTGGAGCCATCCTTCCACCTCAGGCTTCTGAGAAGCTTGGGCTCAGAAGCCTCTTAACTGCTGTGCCCCGCTCAAGGGTGGCTTTTAACATTTTTTTCCTCATTTCAGGTTAGAATCCCCAACCCGGAGTCTAAGCATGGACGCCCCGAGGGGGGTTCACATTAAAGCTCCCACTGGGAAAATGGAGGCCCTTTCTCAAATGGACATCGTCTTGCAGAGTAGTGATGGACTGGTGAGTACAGTGATGGAGTTCTTACTGTATGTGCTGGGGAGGCACCTGAGTGCTGCATCCACCAGGGCATCAGGATTTGAGCCTTCTGCTGGCTTGTACTGAAACATGATGAAAGGCACAGCATGGCCATGTGGGAAGGACTGAGTTCAGTTAGGACTGGGGAAGGGCACAGAAGATTAGATTCACTCCATAGTGAGCTTACTTTCGTACACTGGCCTCTGCAGCACCAAGTCACTCATTATTTTATGCTGTGAAAAAGTGCTGCAGACTTTCGGGACATGCAGACACCAATTTGTTGCTGGAGTTTTTTTCCAGTCCCGCCCGGGCCCACAGTCACTCAGACCCAAATAAACACACAGACGCTTATATTATTTAAACTGTTTGGCCTAATGGCTTAGACTTCTTGTTATCTAGTTCTTATATCTTAAATTAACCCATTTCTATTAATCTATAAGTTGCCACATGGCTCATGGCTTACCGGTATTTTACACCTTGCTTCTCATGGCGGCGGCTGGCGGCATCTCTTGACTCAGCCCTCCTGTTCCCAGAATCCTCCTCTCCCTTTGTCCTACCTATACTTCCTGCCTGGCTACTGGCTAATTGGCACTTTATTTATTAACCAATCAGAGCAACACATTCACAGCATACAGAAAGACATCCCCAGCACCAATTTTTGCATTTCCTGGTGACTCAGTGTTTCAGAGCATGGCTATGATTGGGGATATGCACAAATGACAACTGTCCCCTGCTGTTGCCCAGAGCACTATGCTTGCTTGCACAGAATTTAGTGCAAAATAAAATGAACGGAGAAAAACAAGTATTTTTCCAAAGGTCAGCTACAGTAAGGTTCCTTTCTGGGGCTCAAGTCCAGAATGACAGTATAGCAGATCTACCCTACACCATGATTTGTAGAACTTTCTTTATTAATAATAGAAGGCGAAAGCTCAGCTTCAGTCAGTGGGGAAACCAGGCATTCCAGGCTACCTAACGAGTCCACAGTGAGGTGACAGGTTGGAGCAGAAGCTGACTGTAGTCATTAGAGTGCATATTGCACAGATGGGGTGCTTGCTTCTATGTTCAAACAATGCATAGGTTCAGGAAGTCTCTTTACCAGCCCTGTCATAATGTCCTTTTGATGTGTAGCTAGAGCTGTGTGCTCTTGTGCTCCTGCTTCCTGGGTGTGTGTGTGTGTGGAGTGTTGTCCTAAGTCACTAGCACAGTCAGAGTACATGGTTAGGTGCTCCCTCCCCAGCTCTGGCCCAGGCTTACCCCAGGGACAGCCAGCAGAAACTGTAAAACACAGTACAAGGAGCGCAGGGCACAGGACAACCCACAAGCCTGGGCCCCGTGGGTCACCGGTCCTCCAGTTCAAATAGGGATTTGAGTTTTGGAAAGTTTGCCGGCCCTCTGTGCCTGTCTCCTCATTAGACAAATGGGGGAACTGTGTGCTTAATCGTGTCTTGTGGTCTGAAGGCACTAGTGTGGCATTTTGAAATGACGTTCATTTAAGAGGAACAGGAAAATGTAGTTAGGATGCACCTAAAGACAGTCATGAGAAGCCACTCTGGGCATATGGACAGAAGCCAGTCAACGATCACCCACAGGGAAGACATGAAAGTCTTCTACAAACTGAAACTTAGGAGCTTATGAGACCCAGAGCTGGCAAAGTCAGAGATGAAGTCAGGGATTTTGAAATCTTAATATGGAGACACGGTGTCACCACACACTGCACAAGGCTTCAGTTACTATGGAGACACGGTATCACCACACACTGCACAAGGCTTCAGTTACTATGGAGACACAGTGTCACCACACACTGCACAAGGCTTCAGTTACTATGGAGACA